TAGGTGAGATGAAATCTGACCATTCTTGCTTCAAGGGAGCAATCCAACTATACTTCTTCCAGGACAGATTTGTTCTTTCTTCTGGCAGTTCATGGTATTTTCAATATTCTTCACTAACACCATAATTCAAAGGCATCTATTCTTCTTTGGTCTTCCTTATTTATTGTCCCAGCTTTCATATGCATATGCAGGTATTGGGCTACTGATAATACCATGGCTTGTGTTGTTGTTGTTATGTGCCATTGAGTCAGACCCGACTCATAGTGACCTCTCCTTGGGTTTCCAAGGCAGTATCGCTACGGAAGTAGTACTCCTTCCAAGGAGTGTGGCTTGTGTTAGGTGCACCTTATTCTTCAAAGTTACATCTTTGCTTCTTAACACTTTAAAGAGGTCTTTTGCAGCCGATTTTCCCAGTGCATTACAGTATCTGATTTCTTGGCTGCTGTTTTCATTGGTGTTGATCATGGATAGAAATAAAATGAAATCCCTGACAAATTCAATCTTTTCTCCATTTATTGTGATGTTGCTTATTGTTCCAGTTGTGAGGACTTTTGTTTTCTTTATGTTGGGGTATCATCCACATTGAAGACTGTGGTCTTTGATCTTCATCAGTAAGTTCTTCAATTCATGTTAATTTTCAGCAAGCAAGGTTGTGTTGTCTGCATATGTCAGGTTGTTAATGAGTCTTCCTCCAATTCTGATGCTGTGTTTTTCTTCATATACTGTGACTTCTTAGATTATTTGCTCAGCATACAGATTGAATATGTATGGTGAAAGGATACAATCCTTATGCACCCCCTTCCTGATTTTAAATCATACACTATATCCATGTTCGGTTTGAATGACAGCCTCTTGGTCTAGGTACAGGTTCCTCATGAGCACAATTAAGTGTTCTAGAATTCCCAATCTTCATTATGTTGTCCATAATATTTTATGATCCACACAGTCAAATAAATACCTTTGCATAGTCAGTGATACACAGGTAAACATCTTTCTGGTATTCTTTGCTATCCATCTGACATTAGCAATGATACCCTTGTTCACATCCTCTTCTGAATCCAGCTTGAATTTCTGGCAGTTCCTAGTCAATATACAGTACAGCTGCAACTAGTTTTGAATTATCTTCAACAACATTTTACTTGTGTGTGATATTAATGATATTTTTTGATAATTTCCACATTCTGCTGGATAACCTTTCTTTGTAATGGGCACAAATATGGATCTCTTCCAGTATGTACATAATTTCTGGGGGTGGGGAGAAGGTTATAAGAGATGAGAGAGGAACTTTTTTCTGAAGGAAGATACAACATAATGGGAAATAATTAACAATATTGACACTAGAAGATAATTAACAATATATGAAGCTATGTGCTATGTGCCAATGAGTGATACAGGTAAAAACTAGCTATAGAAATTCATAGGCAAAAAGGCAGATATTGATCAGGAGGGATCAGAAAAGGGACCTGGCTTGAGGTATAATCACACTCTTAAAACACTGAAGACAGCTTTATCACATATGTTACTTTCTACCTGTTCCCACCACACACACACACACTCACACATACACATACAAAAGCAGGCATGCTAAGAACCTTTATTCTTACTCCCATTGCTACTGTCTTCGTTAAGACTCTCCTCATTTGACTCTGAAATTATTATGGCTCTCTACTTCGTGCTCATCTCTCCTTGTTTGAAACTGTGCACACAACATACTACCAGAACAATTGTCCTCATGTAGACCTTTCATCATAGGACTACCCTGCCCTGTGCTTTTTGCCAGAGTTGTTATTTGGCAGCACCTTTTTCGGTCTGTATTTTGTGTGCTCAGGTGTTTCTACTAGTTTTTCTCAAGAATAATATTGAACATGTCATCTCTCTATTTCAGAGCCTGTATTGAAACTTTGATACACTGCTGCTGGGCATATGCATTTGTTAAGTCGTTCTACAGGGCAACGCCTTAAAATACATGTGCTTACTTCAGCTAGACATTTCATTCCACTCCTAAGAATTTATATTAAACCCCAAAACTCACTGCTATTGAGTCATTTCCAACTCATAGCAGGTTAGAAATTGGGTTTCCAAGGCTATAAATCTTTATGGAAACAGACCGCCTCATGTTTCTTTCGTGGGAGGTCTGGTGGGCTCGAACCACCAACATTTTGGTTAGCAGCCAAATGTCTTAACCACTACGTCACCAGAACTCCTTAAGAATTTTTTTAAGGAATATTTAAAATATATATATATATATATATATATATATATATATATATATATGGCTGATGGTTCAAACCCACCAGCCACTCCCCAGAAGAAAACCCAAGGAAGGTTGCTAAGTGTCAGATCCAACCTGATAGCAATGAGTTTATACTATAAGTACAACTATTTTTATTCTTGATATATTTTGTTAACAAAATAACAAAATTGGTTGTTGCATCAATGTTTGCCCTTCAAGGAGAGTTTTACCTATATTGTGAAATACCTAAGAACCATTAAAAATGGTGATAAAAACAGAAAGAAAAAAAACGATTTTTTTTTGTTGTTTGTAGGCATATAAATATTATGATGTATCCATAGTATATTATTTTAAATCTTGGTTCTTGGTTTTATTTTGTTTTTCTACCTGTTCCCAATACACACACACACACTCACACTCCCACACATACAAAAGCAGGCATGCTAAACCTTTGTTCTTATTCCCAGTACTGCTATTTTCGTTAAGACCCTCTTCATTTGACTCCCAAATTATTGTGGCTCTCTACTTCATGCCCATCTTTCCTTGTTTATAACTGTGCACACAACATACGATCAGTTGTCCTCATATAGATGTTGTCTTCATCTCCACTAACTTTCTGCTTTCCATCGAATGGATTCTTGATTCATCAGTCTGGCTTTCAGGATGCTGTATCAACTTACTCTCACACTGTGGAGCTCCTCTTCAGAAACTATACCTATTTCTGTCTGTTTTTCCTCTGATTGGACTGTCGCAGCCCCAACTCATTGCCAGTTATGCTCTTACTATGTAAGTTCCTCACAAAGTTACCATTTATTTATCTTCTAGCTCACCTCTTATTATTTTTTAAAGTTCCACATTTTATGCCTTTTTTTCTGATTATGCAAAGCCTCCATGACTATCGTTTATCTCTAATAAACAGGTGTTCTGGAAAAGAGCCTAGATTCAGCAGAGAGAGTATAATATGGTCTGAGAATATCTGTGAGATGAGGTTTTGTTTTTGACAAAGTATCAGTTTTTAACTGATATTTGAGATGGAGCCATGCACACATCAGTCCTTTCTGATTTGTTCTTTTTCTACTTAAATTACTACCTTTTTTTTCCTAATAAGGAGCTGGCCAGGGGAGAAGTCATGCTCTAAGTATTTAGCCTCAAATGTTTTTCTCAAAGAAAAACTAGGTAAAATTCAAAGATAGGGGTTTGCTTTGGAGTCTGATACTTCCTTTGCCTTCTGCTTCCCCTTTTCTTCTCTGTGTTACTCCTACCCCTCTGCAAAAGGTGAGCATATGGCCTAATTAGTCTCCTTCCATAACCACAAGCCTTGAGCCATGATATTCATTGGGTGTGGTCTGATGTCTCTGAGGAAGAGAGAATCACATTCTTACGTGTATGTCTGGCTCATGATTAATATTCAGGTCCCTTTCAATGTCTTGCTCATATCCCTTCACCCCCTTCTCTGCCCCATAGCCCATGTTATATGAGAATTGGCTCTGGTTAGTACATGTGCTTAATTAAAATATTTTCTTTGATGAAGATTTGTAAACATGCATAACAGTAGAAAGAAAAGTATAATAAACCTTTCATATACTCATCATACAGATTCAATTGCCAAGACTTTGTTTGCTCATTATTTAAAGCCAAATAGCCTTGATACATTGTTCTGTCAAAGATTATAATATCTTTCTATCATTTTTCCTAAAATGTGTGTTTTAACCATATGCTTAATACATTGATCAAATGGTGAATTTCTGTGGTATTTGGTTGGACCATTTAATAATTAGGCATTGTCAAATGTAGTAGTGTGTAGGAGGAGAAATTAAAATTTAACAAACATATCTATGGCATAGTGCCTAAGGCATTGGACCTTTAACCATAAGGCTGGCAGTTCAGACTCACCAGCCACTCCTTGGAAGGAAGATTGGGCAATCTTCCATAGAGATACCTCCTCAGAAAACCAAGGAGAGGTCTCTATGAGTCAGAACTGACTGGAACGGCAGTGAGTTTTTTTTTTTTTTTTTTTTAAATCTAAGTTCATGTGGTAAGTTTGGAAACAGGTTATAATTTTCAGAATTAGCTTTGTGTAGAAATGGCTGTGTAATCATTATTTCTATTATATTAAATTGACCCCTAAACCTGAAAATTGAATTTTCACCTCTACTCTTTATAATTAGCATATCATATGAGTTGTTAACACCAATCTGGGTAATTACTTATGTACCTTTTTTTTGTTATATGCAAGTTCCAATATTTATAGTCTTGAAAGTATTCAATATTTTCATTGTGTACTTAGATACTTAAGGAGCTCTGGTAGCATAGTGGCTAAGACACTTGCCTGCTAACCAGATGGCTGGCGGTTCAAACCCACCAGCCACTCCTCGGTAGGAAGGTTGGGCAATCCTACTTCCGTAGTGATACTGCCTTGGAAACCCAAGGAGGGGTCGCTATGATTCGGGGCCGACTTGACGGCACGTAACAACAACAACAACAACAACAACAACACTTAGATACTTCATTCCGTTAGGAACCTCAGAACACAAGAAACTTCCTATTAGACAATAATACTTGTATGGAAAATTATAAGCTATATTTTGCTTGTAAGTATCTATGACTTTTTAAGAATATAGGACAGCAGTATGATATTAGCTTTCAGTGTGTGTAAAAGGTTAATTATTTTCATACTTCTCATGAATTACTCATCTCTTCTGTAGGAGGATTTTCACAGTTGAAATTCTCTAATTAATTTATCCTTGTTTGTTTTCTTTTTCCCCAGCTCTTGTAAATGTGAAACTCTGGGCCATTGATCGACAATGTTTTCAAACAATAATGATGAGAACAGGACTCATCAAGCATACCGAGTATATGGAATTTTTAAAAAGGTAGGATGATTTCTTGCTTCCTTTCAAGAGCATTTCTTGTCTTTTGATTCCTCTGTCTGAAATTATAGCACAGTGACAACTTTCTGCCCATATCTCAGTCTTACTGGTATGGAAGTCTGTGGAAGTGTAAGGTTTTGAACTGGATTCTTTATATTGCCAATGCCAATTTTCATTTGTGATTAAGTCAGAACTTCAAAGGTTCATCACAAATATTTAGCTATTCAAAGTTATCTCAACAGAAGAGGTTAGCTCAGAGAAATAATTGACAATTTTCTTGAACAACAAAGAATCTTGAGTTCATCTCTGTTTATTGGGTATATTTCTTCTAAGCAGACCTCAATATAAGGCTGAGTCATCTCTTGTGTGAGGTTTGATGTTAAAGGTTAGATGACTAAGATGGGAAATTTCCAAGAAGAAAGTTATTATCCTTTAATCCTGATTTTAATTTCCTGAATTAACTATATTTTATGTTGCAATTGGGAATATCAAAAGCTTTTTCTTACCTTCACATTGTATATTACCATAATAACTTAATATAGGATGGAAATTTGGCGTAAAAAGGTACCTCTTTGTTTCTTAGGAATACACATGATATTCTCAGAAATAAACTTTTATGTCTTCAAGCCTATTATATTTTAAAGAAAATATATTCATTATTGTTGAAAAGAACATTGATAATTCTGATGACTTTTTTTTCCCAAAAGTTGTTATTTTATATTCTTTTGCTGGTAGCAGAACCGTTAGTACAATAATGATGCATGGATTATATGAGATAAAGAAGCATGTAACACTAATTAAGATTTCAATTTTGAAAGCTAGACTATTGGGTTTTTCATTTAATATTTTAGTTTTTGATAGATAATGGTTAAAATAGATTAAAATACCAAATTTATCTTTTGTTTTAGTGATATATCTTAACAAATGCTTATGGAATTGTCTTAAGATTAAATTTTAATATTCCTTGCTTGGGTATTTTATGTAATTAATTATTCTTTTTCTGCTTTTATATTTTATACATTTTTCATTTCCATTTAAAATCTTTCCTTTATGTTACTGGTAAAGGGACAATAAAATTCTAATTTGATATCAAGTGATAATGTATTGAAACATTACTCTGTCAGTAGGGTATATTTTTTCCACTCCTCAGTGTGTTTGTATAAAACATTAGGAGAGATGGAAATGTAAATTTCTATTTGGAGTTTAGATTTGCAAGAGAATTAAATTATTCAGCTGAGATAGATAGATGATAGGGAGATCAATAAATAGATAGATAATTTGTTTTCTAAGCCTCAAAGTATAAGAATTATTTTTTTCTGATGCATCTCTAATAGAGAAAGATCTCAGTTAGTTACCAATGAAATAATTAAATGCTATTGATTTCAACTTTCATAAGTTTTTACAAGGAAATGGACGAAGTCCAACGCTGTGACTCTAAACAAGAATTTTTTTTTTTTTAAGAGGAATTATTTCAGAGGTAAAGGTATTGCACTTTTTTTTAAATGAGTTTGATAGATTTTCATTTTTGTAGTACTGCCAAAGCTGCTGTTTTTTTTTCCCTATTCTGATAATTTAAACCTTAAACAATAAAAGTTGGCTTTTCAGAGTAAGTGAACAGTATCTGTTGGTCAGATGAGAGCAGGTAGAGTTTAACTGGTTCAACTTAAAAAAAAAAAAATAGGTACGTGCTAACATTGACGTTACTTTCCATGTGCCTATTCAAAATACCAAGCTCATCTTGTTTGTAAAGTGTAGTGCTGACCTTGTCTTCTAGAGAAATGGTAAGATTGTCATTATTGCCTGGGCCAGCTTCAGTCTTCCTAAAATTGGGTGTGGCCAACTGATTGTCTTTCAAGCAAACCAAACCAAACTAGACTCTTCACCATCAAGTCATTCTGATTCAAAGCAACTCTAGGACAGAGTAGAGTGTAACCCTACTGGAAAGTAAGATTTCCAAGGCTGTAATTCTTAAAGAAGCAGATTGTCACATCTTTCTCTTGTGGAGAGACTAGTGGGTTCAAACTCTGGCCACAGAACATTTCACTGTTTGCTATGAGGGCTCCTTAGGATGGGAAAACTGGAAAAAATAACATTATTATAGAGTAATATTTTTATTTTCTTTGTGGCTTAGGTAAAATTGCAGTCTTTGTTATATTTGTACATGCTACTGAAACTTGAGTCATGAGAAGTAGTAAAGACAACCTGGGTTCTTTGATCTGTGGTCCCTTCAGCTGAGTTCTGATGGCCTCCTGAGACTCCTTCCTGCAGCCCTATGTGTGCTGTATCTTCTATTGCATGATATCAACAGCAGATTTTAATCACATGGAATTTGCCTATTTTGGATTCTGATGATTACCTAAAGTAAGCCCCAGAGGCTGTTACTCTTTCCATCACCTAATCCTTCAATGCTCCATTTCTTAGCACAGACCATAGAGATTTTCATGTTTGCTTTGCATTTTATGGGCTGTCACTGTGCTCTCTATCGGAGGTCATCTCCCAGCACGATTATGCCCTATTGTCACTGCTCATTTCCTTATGTAACTTCTTCCTTCTCACTACCCTAAATAAGCATGTGCTGCATCCAGCAAAACTGCACAGGTCATGAAACAAAGCAACACGAAAGGATTAAAAGTTTAAAAGGAATGGGGGCCAGGCAGACACTTTGCAGATGATTCGACACTCTGCTTTATTTATACACAACTTCATGATTACATCATTATTCTTGGTATCTCTTTAGTACACTCAAGTATTCAATCAAGTACAATCAAATATTTCCTTATAACAATCAAATGTTATTGGAAAATTAAAATTCTACCCTTTCCCATACCCGGAGGCTTTTCCCATGACTGAAATAATGGATTATTAATCAGGTTAATATCTCTTACAAGAAAAGCAAATAATCACTAAAATGCATCATTCTAAAACATAATATGATTATTAGGGTACATGATTCTAGCGTATGAGATAATTACTAAAATACATTATTCTAAGATATGGTTACTAAAGTTTATTATTCCTAGGTCTGGTTACTGAAACTTATTCTTAGGTAAAATGTTGTTCCAACAAAACAGGTTAGCAAACATCTTACTGGAAGAATGTTCTGCCCCAGGAACACAAAGCTGGAGCCAAGCAAGCACTCAATGGTGAGAGAGGCCTTGCTTGCCTTCTCTTAGCTTTTCTTAGAACATGTGCCTTGCAATCATGTTCCTTGGTGGTCTTTTTCTTGTTCTCCAACATTTCCCCCTTTTTATTTTTTAAATGAAGTAAATGTACTTCAGTAGTTAAAATTATTGAATTAAACATTGAATTAATCTCAGGACTCAAAGAATAACAAGTAATATGATTAAAAACATTATTATGTATGGTAGAAAGTGATACAAAAATGTAGGGATGTTCTTAAAAGGGTTAAGACTTTTAAATTCATGAAGTATTGGAATTTGCAACTTGATTGGGGTCAATTACTGGTGTATGACTATCTTTTATTCTTTGAATATCTTTATGAAATTTTTTTAAATTGTGATTTGGGTGAAAATTTACAGAGCAAATTCACTTTCCATACAGCAGTTCGCATACACTTTGTCTCATGACATTGACCATAGTTCACCACAATGCAACAGCTCCCTGCCCACTTCCTCCCGACAGTCACCTCTTCCCTGTGTCCATCCCTCCATGTACCTCTGCTCTCTGAGCTGTCTCCCTGTGCATAAACAACCCTTGTTTCCCCCATGCTTGTTCTTTCCAAGGAGTGTATCTACATCAGGTAGATATATATGCTGTCTTTTGTTTGGCAGGAAGCCACAGGTACAGGTTCAATTTCAGACCTGATGGGCAGCTAGGGGCCATAGTCTCAGTGGTTCCACCAGGCTCTATTAGACCAGCAAATCTGGTCCCCCCCCCTTTTTTTTTTCCAAATGATTTTGGGTTTTGTTCCACATTGTTCTCCCTCTCTATCCAGGATCTCCTACATAGATCCCCCTCTGAGTAGTTGACATTGGTAGCCAGGCAGCATCTAGTTCTTCTAGTCTCATAGTCATATAGGCTGTGGGTTGGAGGGTGTACCAGTCCCTAGACTAATTCTTTCCGTGAATCTTTGGTTTTCTTCATTCTTCTTTCCTCTGGATGAGGAGAGACCCATCGTTGCACCTAGATGGCTGCTTGCAAGCTTTTAAGCTTCATGGAATTCTTGAATTTCAAAACTAATATTTGAACTATGCCAAACTCCTAATATTCTCATTTTGATTTTTTCCCAAGTAAATTCAGGATCACTGAAATTCACAGGTTATGATGTCACACATATGTACTCATATAGATAATCACAATGTAATGCCTGCCTTACTCTTATCACTTCTAACTCATCTCCTAAACGTAATACTGCTGCCTCTAACATACCTAATTTAAGTTTAAAATCCTAATCAATCAACATTTTCTTGATCCACTAATGCCTTTATGGTATTTTGGGTGATCTCATTTGCATATTGGGCCATCTGAATAGAGGATTGTAGTGCAGTAGCAGCCACAGCTGTAGTAGTTCTCCTTGTGGGAAGAGCAGTTATGCCTGCAATCAAAAGTCCAATAACACACTTAGATCTACTAAGCCCTTTATGTACTAAGTATAGTGAATATTCTCCTGCTGAATGAAAGCATCCATCCAAGATGTTTACTGGTAAGGTTATATAGTGTGGTTATGTTACCATCAATACATACTGATCAGTTGAAGTTAAGCACTGAGTTAACAAACAGTTTTTACAAGTCACATTCTAATAATAGTATCCCAAAGTATCATTAATTTAAAAAATATTTAAACAATTTATGTCAGTATTGGTAGTACCATTATTATATCTATGTGCTAGCTGACAATAACTGCCCAAATTAATTTGTGTTGCTTTTCTCTGAGCATGTTCTGGGTCACTGTGTTTGGCACTAGTGTCTGTACCCAGAGGTGCGTTGGGATGCAGCTGCAAGACCACTGGGAAGCACTTGTTGGAGGTAGGTTTTCTGTTGGT